AGTGCGTCATCACTCCGCTGGTTGCTATGGCAACGCGATCCTACAATTGGCAATTTGGCAAGTTTGGCTTATTGTATGCCAGCGAGAGATCTGCCATTCGGCCTTTTTATTAAATCAAGTATTCACTAGTTGAGGGGATGGAAAGGGGAAAACGGTTGAAGAAATAATTGACTGTCACCACCAGGACTCGAACCAGGGACCTTCGCTTGAGGCCAGTGCTCTAACCAATGAGCTATGGTGTACCGTAGCTGTCATCCCAGCAGAGAGAGAGAGAGAGAGAGAGAGAGAGAGAGAGAGAGAGAGAGAGAGAGTGCGCTGATTTTTTTAAATCAGTATTATTTGTGCATTTCTCATACTTTCAATCCATTCCCTGGAGCCAATTGACCTAGGCGTGCTGGTAGTAGCAAGCATCATGTGACAACCAACTTGGCGGACAAGCCAGTTCTTTGCAGTGTGAGTTGCAAGGCCCTTGCTTGTTACATTAGTGGTACAGTTCCTGTTAGTCTACAGGGTTTGGTGTGTGTTGTGTCCACGTCTTGCTATAGCTACATCTTGTAGACTTTTGTGACAGTCATGGTCTTGAGTAACTACTGGAAATTCAGTGAATGTTTGAGATGTTGCGGCAGAGCTCTTGACCTACATTGTATTTTAGTAACTCGTGGTGTATGATGTACCTGTAGATGGGTTGGTCAAAAGGACTTGTTCCACCATCTGGACAGGCAGGCAAGGAGGCCTGAGACATTAGTACCCCTCCCCTTGCCCCATTCCCACTTTGGTCAGAACCCCCCCCCCCCTTGCCTTGGTCACTTGCTGGATACAAATTCAACAGGAACATCAATGCCATCAGTATGCATGAGCACCCGTGACAGCGGCTGCGAGTGCTGGGTCTCAGCATTATGCCAAGAACACATCTACATGTACGTTATACCATATTGATAGCAAGATATGTGGATTCTTAGTCTTGGTGACTGTGATAGATTTCTTTTGTTAATTTGGCAGTTGCCAAAGCTGTGCAGGTAAGCAGATGACTACTAATGATACATGTACATGTACCAATACAACTCAGTAAGAAAAGTTAGCTAGCAATGCTTTGTGTGCCTTAAATTCTCCTATTTCTGACTCCAATCTAGCTTTGGTTTGCTTCGTCTTTTCCTTTCTTACTCTTCTTTTTTTCTTCCTCCCGCTCTTACCAGTTTTCCCATCCCACGTATCTTATCAATCAAGCGAAAACAGGAAACCCCCTCGACAGGCGAACTACTAGTACCTTTGGGGAATCCTTAAATAAATAAATACAAATACGTCCAAATACAGTACTCCCCAGATACTACGTCTATTGTGTCATTTGTGTGCATACAGCAGGCCAGTAACGTCAGTAAGCGAATCATCCCCATAAGCTGCAGAAGGATGGCTGACTGCGCATCATGTTTATGATAAGCAAGAGACCTTTCATGGCCTATGCCCGTTCAGCAGCAGGCTATCACCATGTTTCGTTGCAGAAATTCTTCAACACTGACTTCGTGTGGTATACGTAGCAAATGTATCTGCTGAAGTATTTTTTTAATGAAACCGCAATGCCTGTTCATCTGGCTGAAGTAAAAACAAAGACAACAGCTGCACGGACAAAATTCTGCTGCACTACCTCTTGCTTCAGCCTGACGACGCTAAGCCAGGCTTAGGTGGTGTGCACTGTGACTGTCAATCTCAATTTCCCACGCACAGTCACTCACGAAAGGCGGACACATTTCGGCTTCGAGCGCTGGGTCTGCACGCCCCTTGAAATACAATGGGCAACTAAGACTAGAGCAAGGATAGTTGCATCATCTCAGATCCGATGTACGCTTACCCCCTTACAAACAGGTTTTGGAGGCGTTTTTCAGTGACATCTACCCTATTTACTGGGGTGGGCTGCCGAAACCTTGTCAATCCATCACCATTGGTGTTAACTATGTGATCTAATTACATGAACATGTACACGCGGCGGTATCTACAATTACTTGGCAATAGTGCAGAAATGCCGTTCTACTCAACGACAAGGCCGCGACGATCATCTACACGATGCCAGCAATGGCGCTATAGCGCCACCCTCCGTGGACTCTACACAACACAAAGCGTCGTGTAAGTGAGAATTATGTTCTCGTGACGGTTGAAAACGCTGCTGTGGCGTTACCACACCTGCAATACAACACCTCAACTCGATGGCACCGGCCATGCAAGCCGCTTGGAGAAGGGTATTCACTATCAGCGATTGCAAGAGAGAAATGCAGTAGCTACGTCGCTCTTAGGAGAACCTTCCGGCGACAACTTTAGCTCAAGAAAGGCAAGGGTCCTGGGAGGCTGAATACTGAATACTGTCGTTGATTGTTTTGTCCGTCCAGCCGCTGTACTGAATACTGTCGTTGATTGTTTTGTCCGTCCAGCCGCTGTATGCATCTACCACAATCTGTAATAAGTATGACTATGTCACCTACAAATGTAGGGTAGCTGTGTTCCTCATGGACGATGCAGTGTGGGGCCATTCGCTCTAGTGGTATGCTGAATGCTGAATGCTTTTTTAAAGGTGATGGTCGCGCATGCTTTCAGGATTTTACCCCATGCTATCAGGGTTCCATGCCATCGGACCAGGCAACAAGGCAGCTGCTGCCTGTGGTTTACTCTCGCTTTTACACACTCCACTGATGGATGTGCGTCATGGGAGAAGCGAAATGCAGCAAGCCTGACAAAATGCAAAAAGTACTAGTAAATGCGATTAGTGTGTAGACCGTGTGCCCGTGAATTATCACTCCTGATGCAACCATCGCCTGTCTTCCTGTAGTTCACCGTCTCGGCGGTCAGTTTTGATCCAGTCGGACGCTGACCCAGTTTGCACGGCCGAGTGCAGACTGGCTTGACAATCGTCATCACTCGTCGCTTTATAAGGGCAGGAACGATACGAGAAATCACTACATGCGGAGCGATGGCTATTCTCATCGCTCTAAGATAGCTGATGCGATATGTACACGCACTCCCTCCAGGAAGCCTCAAAGGATTATAAAGATGTGATAATTGTGGTATCGCCTGGCCTGGATGCCGTGCCGGCAGTGATAACTAACTTGACGCACACCACCATGGACCATCCTTACCTGACATCACGTGACGAGTAGTGGGGCTTGCATTGCCGGCACCAGTTTTTGTAGGTAGGGAAACGCGACCGACGCTCCTGGGCAATATCCACGTGTTTACTTGTAATGCTGCTTAGGATTAGGGGGCGAGACCTCACACGTACACATGCACAGTCAGTGTTACTCAATGAAATCCAAACAAGCGAGTAAGCGTTGCGCTCTGCACCAGTTCACAGCTGTACATTATAGCACATTCTAATGATGTGTTGATTTCTGCGAGCTGAAGACAGTTATGCTTCAGCATTCGCAGATTGCAATCTGGTCGTCTGATATCTGCTATCAGATGCATGACTCCACGAGCTCAGCTGATTTCCACTTTCCCTTCCGCCCTGCTGAAGATACTACTACTAGTAATCTCCTATCAGGCGAACACAGCCACCATTAGGCAAGTTCCCAACCAACACTATGCTTCTGCCCATTGCGAGGTCGACATGCATCCGTCCAGCCGTGTCACAGGAGTAGCTATGGGCATGGCTTGTTTGTCAATCTTATAACCTGTAACCAACTCTCCCGGGCCCTAAAAAAATCCATATCCTTTTAAGTTAAGCTACTGTTACCGGATCACCAACGACAGGGCAGGAGAGGAGCAACGACACGGGGAAAGATATCGAGGAGACGAGGACTAAACTTACAAGCGAACTACGATCTTGTAACCTACCATGCACATCGTGTGCCATAGCACTGTGCAGCGCGTGTAGTGTCCTAGGACATACGGGCTCAGACCTTCTCGATTAGATAATGTTGCGGCAATGGTATGTGACATACCGTTCTCCAGCTCTGTGCTTGTCGCTGTTCATGCTTGAGGACGTTTGCAAGAGTGCTACTGATCGGGGCACTGCGGTTCCCAAGTGGCTATGGGGCATAAGAACATCGCTGTTGTCGCGATATAGCATGCACTCTCCTAGCCCACTACTTCCACAAGCCACCCAGATACATCTAGCATTCTGTTGTGGAATGTTAGTTTGCACAGCTAGTACAGCCAACACACAGGCTCCCAAATACAAAAATTTAATGTAACATCGGTACGCGCTTTACCGTTACGCTTACTTCTACTTCTAGTGCAATCCTGTCTGTGCTGATCACTGAGTCTGTGGTCCATGCGCTTCAATTTCGAACCAACATGGACGCCCATATCCATGTCATGGTACATACACAATGTGGTGGCGATGATACCGAGCTGACGGCTACATACTGGCGCTGGGACCACAGACAGGGCCAGCCGGTTGGTCCCGGCTGATAGCGCGGGTAACTGGCCAACATCGACCGAGTGGGCAGCGGTTGTTATGTACTGGCCAGGGAATTCTTCACTGGCGAGATTCTGGCAGCATGATGGCGGCCGGTAGAGCTGTGTAGAGGGTCCAGTGCCATTTCGTTCTATGCAGCTGTGTTTTGTACCGCCCATGTTAGTACTGCGCTGGGCTCCAATTGTGTGTGCGTGTGTGCGATATTGAATGTGATACTGAATATATCAAACAGGCGGGCAGTGGTTTCAGCGATGGCGCATCCATATTCCGTCGGGACGAAGCCCGGCAGGTATCCCACGCAGATGCACTGCGAGTCAACCCCTACCACAAATAGCACACGCTTAGGTCAGCAGCAGCTTATGCAGTGATACGGGCACGCTGCTCAGACAGTCCAAGGACGTAGAACTCCTCCCCGGCTGACACACTACAGTACATACTCAGTGGCTACAGCATAGCACTGCAGGTACACAGAGTGTAAAACAGGCACGTAGTACTAACGTAGTACTAGTACAAGTCGTACTTAGCAGAGATTTCTGCTAGTTAGTTACTAGATCAGTGGTCAGACCGGTAGGTGGCGATCGTTGCAAGTCAGACGATCGTGGCAACTGCGGGCCAATGTGCGGCACTAGCTATCCTCTCTATCTCTTGTTGACCTGCTGCACTGGCAGCAGTATCAGCTGTAGCGCCATCACTGCATCAGCTCCGTCACAGGTAACCGGCATCAGTAGTGCTGGCAGTCCAGGCATTCGCGTCCCAACCGACGGCTCAGAGGAAGGCCAGGAAATCTTTGTCGTGAGCGCCACTTTGCTGATGAACGTTTCTCTTGCCAGTTGTAAGCTTGATGGCAGGACCAGAGAAGGAGTAGCTGAAGCCTCTGAGTGTTCATGACTAGAGAAGGAAAGGTGCCTGGCAATCCAAGAAAGGTGCTGAAAGTTGACGACGGCGAGGATAACCACTTTCAGTAACGCCCAGCGGGGTCATAGTGTGTGGACGTGCCCACTTCTGGAGGAGTTACAAGCGTTCAGTGCGCAGCACAGAAGAAAGAAACAAGGGCCGTCAGTAACTATCAGCTTGACGTTAGTCTGATCTCGAAAGCAGCTTGGAGAAAAACGCGTATAGCTAACGGATGGCCGTTGCGACTCCACCTCCCCCTGTCCCGCCGCCTCAGCCCATCTCCACTCGCTGTTGGAGCGATGCAGCACTGTCGCAGCGTTTTCGCCTGCAGAGGAGACTTGGGCATGGAACGTACGGAACAGCATGGTTAGCACGCGATGCACAGACTAATGAGCTGGTGGTCGTGAAAACTGTAGCGAAGGAGAGCACCAGTAGGCTGAACTTCAAGCGAGAGTTGAAGTACTCCCATGCCCTCGCAGACCATCCGCATGTAATCAGAACTCGTCGTCAAGGATTCGAGACGGATGACAGTTTCATTCTGATCCAGGAATACGCCACTGGTGGCGACTTGTTCGAGTGCATTCGACCCGAGCTGGGTATGGACGAGGGGAATGCGCGTATCTATCTGGGCCATATTTGCCTGGCGCTGGACTACATTCATTCTCGTGGACTCGTTCATCGCGATGTGAAACCGGAGAACATCGTCCTGTGTAAAACAGTGTCCACGACTGCTTGTCCTAACTCCGTTCCTACAGGTATTGCTGGTTCTGGCACTGCTGGTTCCCCTGCCGTTGGCAAGGAAGTGGTTGTAGCTAAGCTCATTGACTTTGGTCTCACCCGTCGTATTGGATCGCGTCTGACCAGACTACGCGGCTCTCTGCCATACACTGCCCCGGAGATGTGCGCCGCGGGTCGCCATCATAACGAAGATGCGGACGAGTCCGAAGGCTACATGATCAGCAGTGAGCTGGACATTTGGTCTCTGGGCATCACCCTTTTCTGTATGCTGACCGGAACGTTTCCATGGAGACGAGCTAGTGAGAGCGACTCGAACTTCAAGGCGTTCGCTGCCTGGCAAATGGGCCTGCGGCCAACGCCGCCCACCTCCTGGCGTCGCTTCTCACCTCAGCTCTTAGAACTGTTTTCTCAGTTGCTGTGTATTGATGCCACACGCCGCGCCACTGCTCGCACGGCGTTCGCTTATCTGGAAGTTCCCTGGTCTTCACCTGCCCCGTCACCCGGCCCCACCAGCAGCAGCAGCAATAGCACAGTCAGCGGCATGCTGGAGCCACAATCTCCACATTTCACTCCGTCCTCGGCTCCTCCAGTCACCCCGACCACTCCCGGTTCCATAAGCAAGTCCTGGCTGCCAAGTCCCATGGGCAACGACGTGAATAGCAGACATACGCGCGCCTCCATACCGGAGGGAGCTTGTCTAATGGACACCAGCCAACATACACCCACCACCGCCGCCAGCATGCATCCTAGCACTGGCACAGCAGCAGCTAACCCTGCCGGAGCGGCATCATCTACAATTCACCACCAGCAGCATCAACACCATCGCTCTTCGTGGCATGCCAAGACGACCCACGCAGATCACCATTCGCAACACTCCCATCACCATGGACAGAGCGGTGGCCATCTTTCCTCGTCATCAAGGCGACACTCAGACAGCGCCGCCGCTGTACGACTGCCGTACAAGGTATCCAAGGGTTGCCACACTGTCAAGGCACCGTCCACATCGCAGCAACAGCAGCAGCAATCTCAGGGGCACAGACCACGAGCCAAGAGTCTTTGGAGCATCTCACACCAACCAGTGTCGGTGACGTAATTATGAGCTCATCGACCCCTCCTTTACGTGACCAGTCATATGCTGACCTACCCTCCCCAGGCCGAGTTACCAATGATCAACCATACACTAAATGAACATGAAAGAAGAGAAGTCTGCAGAAAGGACTGAATTTTGTTGTCTGGTTTCTGGATAGTAAGAGATTAGAGACGCCCAAATCAATCCAATATACAATATATTACATGCAATGAATAGATCGTATTGAGAATTTTACATTCCCTTCGGCAGATCATGATGTGAGACATATTTAGCTTTACGTTCAGGCAAGTAGCCACATGTGCTACCATTGAGCTCATTATGATGTTCAGACCGCAGCTGTACACCAAGCTTACTGTCACATAACTATGTGTAGGTTTGTACAATATTCTACTTGTAGGTCCTCAAAGTGATGTTACCCCCTCCCCACCGGACACACGCACACACCGCCTCGCAGCTGTATAACAACGTTGACAATGATAAATATACTGTACATGTACGTAGAACGCTGCGAACCCGCCAATCTAACATATCCCATCACTCAATAACGTGCATGACGTTCTTGACAATATTTCTAATTTATCCACAACATAACACTATTCTCAAGTTGCATCAGAGTTTTTAATAATTGTATGGCAGCAGTTTGGCAAGGTTGTACATTGTGGTACTGCACTTGATGCCTAGAGAACAAAATATCTTCATAAAAATATCTTCCCTGCACGGGGGAGGGGAGGGGGGGGCGGATACCAGCGAGTAGCTAGCTGTCTCGACTCCCTGTTGGCATTACAAGCAGTATAATTATTCCCTTCTTGATACCGTCGCTCAAATACAGATGGTAGGCTTACAGCCTAAGGACATGCATGCGAGGGTTTTTTCGTTTCCAGGGATTGAATGTTGAAGTGCAGATAAGTGGCTTGAAAGGTAGAAATAGAAGGGGTGTTCAGTGACAGTGGTGAAGCTAATGGACGCAGCAACCTATTCTTTTTATTTCTCTGCCATGTGTGGTTGAAGTGATACAAATATGCGTTTAGGCAGAAAGAGGCAGCATTGTAAATTGGGAAGATGATCATAACAACTCTTGTGTAACAGTTTCACCCTGTTCCTGTCACATATGACCTGCTCCTGTCAAATAATCACTTCAATTCTACACCTTGCATTTCCCACTCTATACTCGTACCACCTCTCTTGGACACATAGCACCAACCCTGCGAGTTCCTATGCCACCATCCTAGCTCTAACATCAAGGCGCAGATGCAGCTCCTAAAGCAGTAGTAGGTGAGTAGATCAGACCCACTGACCAAAGTGTCAAAGACCGAAAATCCCATTCCGACGCTGCATCCATGTTTCTCTTATGTCAGGCCACGAGTTCCCAATCACGTGGAGGTCGCTGTGACGGGTGGACAAATCCTTCCGCCTCCAAGCAGGACTTGAACCTGGTATCCTCTGTTTCTCGACCATGGTTAGCCCATCCCACTATGCCTGCCTGCCATGCACATAAACCACATCGGTATCGTTTCTGCACATATGAACAATTAAAATTCGTCAAAGTACTTGGTGATAAATGTCCAAGATTGACGATCCAGAGTAGAGATGGAAAGACATTTTATAGATACTTGGGAACAGTCCTGTTGCCGTTTCCCGGAGAACATTCCGCCTCTGTCTCAAGCTCTGTCTCCCTGTCGAAAGATCTGTGTGTCTCTCTCTTTCCGTCTCTCTGTCGTTATTTGTCTCTGTCTTTGTCTGTCTTCGTCTCTGTCTCTGTATCAATCTCCCTCAGAGAACATTCGGTCACTGTCGCAAGATCTCTCTCCCCACTCTCTCTGTCTCAAAAGGACGAAACAGTTCTGCCCGCAGATTGAGTATCTATCTAGCTATCTATCTAGCTATATTTGTCTCTCTGTCCCTTGTCTCTCTCTGTCTGTTCGCCTCTCTGTGTATGTCTCTCTGCCTCTGTCTCTTTGTCTGTCTCTTTGTCTGTCTGTCTGTCTGTCTGTCTGTCTGTCTGTCTGTCTGTCTGTCTGTCTGTCTGTCTGTCTGTCTGTCTGTCTGTCTGTCTGTCTGTCTGTCTGTCTGTCTGTCTGTCTGTCTGTCTGTCTGTCTGTCTGTCTGTCTGTCTGTCTGTCTGTCTGTCTGTCTGTCTGTCTGTCTGTCTGTCTGTCTGTCTGTCTGCCTGTCTGTCTGTCTGTCTGTCTGTCTGTCTGTCTGTCTGTCTGTCTGTCTCCCCTGTCTTCTCTCTATCTCCCTCTCTTTCTAACGCTACCTTTACATCTCTCTCTGTCTCTTTCTCTCCGTCTCTCTGTAACTTGCTATCTCTCTCTGTCTCTTTCCCTCTCTGTCTATCTCTCTGTGTCTCTGTCTGGCTCCATCAGTCTCCATCTGCCTCTATCTGTCTCTATCTGTCTCTGTCTGTCTCTTTCCCTGCCTCTGACTCTGCCCCTGTCTCTCTATTTTGTCTTTCTCTCTCAGTCTCTGTCTGTATCTCTTTCTCTGTCTCTCTGTCTTCTCTCTCTCTCTCTCTCTCGCTCTCTCTCTCTTTCTTTCTCTCTCTCTCTCTCTCTCTCTCTCTCTCTCTCTCTCTCTCTCTTTCTCTCTCTCTCTCTCTCTCGCTCTCTCTCTCTCTCTCTCTCTCTCTCTCTCTCTCTCTCTCTCTCTCTCTCTCTCTCTCTCTCAACACACACACACACATACACACACACACACACACACACAAACACACAAATACAAACACACACACTTTGTCTCTCTATCTGGCTGTCTCTCTCTCTCTCTCTCTTGTTCTTTCTTCTCCTTCTCACATTCTGTGTATCTTTCTTACAATCACACACTTTCACGTTAGCCTTATCACTCCTTGCCTACTTTAGAGGTGCCTTGGTTGAGGTTGGGTTTCAAGCAGGTTTGCAGGTAGGGTGTTCCAGGATGTGATGGGAAAGGATCGTTGAAGGTAATCAGGTGAATGCGATGGGATTCCACTATAGCTAGAAGCCATGGTGCTCCTGAAGTTGGTGTCGTGTGCGCTAACTGAGTACGTCGATGGGCTTTGTTGGTGGGAGCATGGCCGTCATCTGGAGAGGCACTATTAGATGTAGTGCAGGTGGAACGTTATTTCGTACTGACACGGCTGGCGCCCTTTAAATACTACTATAATGGTTATGGGAAGTACACAAGCAATGCATGTGTCTTTCGTTAGAGTAGTGTTCAAGGTAGGGAGACAAACGCATCATGCACAATCTAAAGGCATATCAGTATCACCTCTATCAGCAGCACTACTGGTATCTACAAAGTATATGTCGTTCACACACGGGTAACTGTGATATCGGTCTCACTAGGTATACGTGTAAGAGTTACGATCGTCTTTTCCCCAGTCCACAGTGATCATTCACATTTTTTAAATCTTTTTATGAAAGTGCACCTGCCTACATAGAAGGGAGGAGACCAACAAAGAACATAGTGAACCACAACGGGTGTGTGGCTGCTCAAAAAGCTGTGCAGGTGAGGCGAGTAGCTCTCCAGCCAATGGTCTCGGGATCAAGGCGCCCAGCACGCACTATGGGGGAGAGAAGATAGCCTGAGAGAGAGAGAGAGAGAGAGAGAGAGAGAGAGTGTGAGTGAGAGAGAGAGAGAGGGGGGGGGGAGGCGAGCGAGTGCGTGAGAGCGAGTGAGGTAATGGTGACAGCTCTACCGTGGTACGTACATGATTCTACTTGATATTATATAACCTAATACTAGTTCAGAACCAGTATTAGAAAAACCTTGTTATAGTTCACGCCTATTGTTAGATTGACAGTATGAAACAAGGTGGAGGACACTGTGTTCGGAAACAGTGATCTTACTACAACCTTCCGCGATTGGCAGAGCCCCGGTCCCTTCGGACCATTTGAACCATATGGGGGTTGAACCCGGTTCTGACCCTCATTATGCTAGGGAAGAAGTATTTTAGACTTCTCCGTACGTCCGTCGTGTATTCTTTGATCGCTCCTGGATGTCGTCCTGGTAGTCATGTAGCTACTTAACCTGAATTGCTTTTCTGAAATCTTCTTTTCTTCCAACTTCTGCCCATGGCGTCCTTCTCTCATCCCGTCAGCTGTCAACAGTTACTGCCACCGCCATGACACTGTCGCGAGAAGGTGCTTTCTGCAGACGGGGTTGGTTCAAATGGTCCGAAGGGTTTGGGGCTCTGCCAACCGCAGAAGGTTGTAGTAGGGTCACTGTTTCCGAACACAGTACCCTCCACCTTGTTTCATACTGTCAATCTAACAATATGATTGTACTTGTACAGACTACACGTTCATACCATGATAACATACAGTAAAATTCTTTAGGACCAAGGGACGAATAGTATTAATTTTGTTCTCAATAACGAGTTCTTCTGATCCAGATATTATACCCAGTGAATACACAGTGATTAGCCAGTCGAGCTATGAGTGAGTACTAGTTCTTCTAAAGCGAAAGCTTGTCTTACCAGTCACTGTTCGTCTTCGAGGTTTCACTCTACTAACGTAAATAATGTAAACAATGCAGAATGAGGTGTAGCGTATACATGATTGTACATGGTATTAGCAAGAGTACTAGTATATACTCTTGGTATTACAACAAAGGCAGAAGAGAACAGAGACAGCCGGCTGTCTCTGTTCTCTTCTGCCTTTGTGGTAATTTATTTATTTATTTATTTATTCAACATCTTATGGCTTCCGATGGCAGCCAAAATGGGAAGATGTGGGTGATAGCCAACCATGGTAAAAAGAAGGAGAAGATTATATACATGAAAAGGAAACAGCCGAAAAGCTGTATTGATTAGTTTTTATTATTATTATGGTGCACTCAGTAATCAGCAGTTAGCCCTCAGATTCACTTTAAATTCTTTCAATGATGCAGAAGTCTTCACTGAGTCGGGAAGTTGTAGCCACGCACAGTAGCCCTGGAAGAATGGCGATCTTGTGAATTGCGTTGACTTGGCCTTGGGAAGAGACACTTTGTTTCTGGTTGAGCGGCCCGAAACAAACCAGTTATAAGGCTCTATATGTTCAAGAACACAGCCCAAGAGCATTCGATGAACCAATATACAGAGGCAAGTTAGTCGGCGTTGCTCTAACGGAGTAGTCTGAGCTAATAAGTACAACTCATTGGAGGGAAAGGAAGGTTTCTTCGAGAAAATTTTTTTAGAACTTTCTTATGATGAACTTCAATGGAATCGGATAAGACCTTAGCTAGGTCACACCAGGCTGTGGCAGCATATTCAAACAATGGAAGGAGATAAATTTTATATATAGCTGAACCGCACGGAATAGAGAGATGTTTACAATGACTTTTAATATAGCCAAGAGCACGGCTGACTTTATTACAAATGTAATCTACATGAGCCGACCAGGACATGGATGAATCGAACATTACCCCAGGTGTTTGTGCTCCTTTACCGTCTGAATTTCTGTGGGTGAATTGGGAAAGGTGAACTTAAACATTGAGGCAGAATCTGTTAGAAACAGTACTCTGGTTTTTGAAACGTTTGTCTGAAGCCTCCAACAGGACATCCAGGTGACAATCATATTTATCGCGTCTTGCAACTCTGACTCAAGCTGTTTGACAGTTGCATAGTGGCGCAAAGCAGCTGTATCGTCAGCAAACAATGATATTCCAGAAACATGACTTGGTAGATCATTAACATACAAAACAAAAAGCAATGGTCCAAAAATTGAGCCCTGAGGCACCCCCGACAGCACGGGTAGCTTTGGAGAGTCTGCTCCCGACACGGACACAAACTGGCTTCTCCCAGAAAGATAGCTCTCTATCCACTTCAACGGTGTGTCAGAGATGTAAAAGATGACTTGAAGCTTCCTCAAGAGACCTCTATGCCACACTGTGTCAAACGCCTTGGCAAGATCGAAGAAGCAAATGCCCGTGTACAACTTTTCTGCTCTTGCTGTAATGTCCTGTACAAGGCGAGTCAGCTGCAGTGAAGTCGAGTCTCCACGACGAAAGCCAGACTGAGCAGGGTGAATGGCAGGGGCAACATGGCTATACAACTGATCATAAAATATTCGTTCACATAATTTTGAAATGCATGATAAGAGAGAGATTGGCCTGTAGTTTCCAGGAGTAGCTTTACTACCTTTGCCCTTAAATATCGGCGTTATTTTGACCACTTTCCATGCCGATGGAAACTTCCCTTTTCTGAAAGACAAATTAAATAGAAGACATAGAGGATATGATAATGATGGTGCTAGAGCCTCAACAACTTCATTGGAGATGCCGTCCATACCAGGCGATTTGTTAAGCTTAAGCTTCGCAATAGCTTCGCGCACTCCAGCTGTGGTTATTATCGGAGCGCGAAACGCATTCGGGAGGCAAGGGTTTTGGTCTTAGGACGGCAATGGTATGCGTGGGTCGTCAACAACCGCCAAATTTATACAGATTTATGTTGACAGGACTTGGGTACTTCCTACTCCGACTGTGAAGTTCCGCCTTGTGACAGATAGCACCTTTCAATTCCGCATTAATCCAGGGCGGAAGTTGTTTCGACAGGCGTGATCTCCCTGTATCCCTGATGAAGCAACGCTCATAGTGCTGGACACTAATGTGCTGCGTAAAGATGCGGTCTAGAACAGTCTGAATATTTGCAAGTGATTCGTCCACATCTGACGAAACAACCATATGCCAGGCAACTGCCGCTAGATCATCATTAATACCCGCCCACATGGTAGGTGTCACTCTCTTAAAATTGTACTTACGGGCAGAAGATGACTGCACCCAATCCCTGGATGAAGCACAAGAGGGAAGCGGGTCCATGGGGATATCAAACTGACATGAAACGAGGATGTGATCCGATGCACCGAGAGCACAGGCTGTGTCTATGGACGACACTAGTTGGCTACGATTGCTGAAGATGAGGTCCAAGCAGGCCTGGTTGCCTGAAGGTGCGGTGTGCGTGTTTGTGGCGACCAGTTGTTGAAGACCAAAGCAGCTAAACTCTCGTTGTATTGCAGCACCAGCAGGGCATGTATGGTCTGTTGGGCACCAGAGGCTGTTTTTTCCATTCAAATCCCCAGCGATGATGACGTGAGAGGACGATACAGGAATCATCCTGAGAGAATCACCAATCATGTCGCAGTAGCGAGTTATGTCCAAGCTCCTGGTTGAAGGCGGTCGATACGTACAGCAAACGACAACCGGTTCAGTATGGCTTGACCTGGGCGTGAGCTGGACCCATACAGCCTCACACATAGGACGGAGTAGATCCGGGCGATATCGTATGGATCTAAAACGGTGTCTAGAACAAGGATTGCAACACCACCGTATGCCCGGGAGGTGGTGCCAGACTTGTTCTCACAAGGCGGTCTGTCTCGCCGATAGGTTAGGTATCCCGGAATACAGAAAGGTATAGTAGGCCCGAGGCAAGTTTCAGTTAAGCAAATCACACCAGGGTGGTGTTGTTCGACGATTCCGGACAATTCAGCATATTTATTGACAATTGAACGGCAGTTTGTTGTATACAATAGGAGCTTCTCGGAGGTAGTCTCCTTCACTTGCTCGGCTGGATGACGCAGAGGAGCATACGGCCTGGCATTGGGGTTAAGGTTAGAACAGACACAGGATTCGGGGAAGAAGAAGAATGGAGCTGCATGTGGGTTCAACGAAGCCACGAAGGAGAGAGCAGTCACTGAGCAGCGATGTCCGCAGACACTCCCACCCCGTCACTGAACCTCCATGGCCGAACAGCATGCTGAATAGTCTCCCGCCAGAAAGAGTCACCCATCACCCGATTGGCGGTCTCCTCAGGTACGGTTAGTCTTGCGTAGGAGGTGCCAAAGTACCGCGATGTGGCTACGGAGCATGCAAGCACCTCTACATCTCGCTCTTTACACCAGTTGACAATAGATGTCGCCTCACAGCCAGGAGTGATATTGCCAATGAAGAAAACCTTCCTCCGGGTTCGCACAGCTCCGGTTAGCACGTTCGGAGAGGTATTAACGGGTGTGGGCTTTTGATAGGCAGAAGTGACAGTCCTGGTCAGGGCCTCATTACGGGTGATTGAAGCGGCAGCAGTCGGGGCTGTGTCAAACTTGTTGCGAAGTCGCCGCCGATTGACATCCCGCCAACCGGAAGCAGTAGAACTACCGGCCCCAGGACCAGTGCGAACAGAGTCAGGACGAGCAGATGCAGAAGCAGCAGCACAAGAACCCACCGTCTCCTGCAGAACAGCGCTATACGGAGGCTGAACTCGAGAGCGGGACTCCACCGGCAGAGGCCTAGAAATGGCTGGGGGTGGTGAGGAAGCAGGCTCCTGCGCATGAATACGAGATTCAGACTCCGAGGCGTAAACGTCTTCCTTGAGAGATCCAAGTGAAGCAAGACGGAGAGCCTCTACTTCACTCTCGAGGTGTATGACTCGTGAGTCCAGACTTGCTACAACAGAAGCCTCCCGTCGCCTATCAGCTCTCATAGCCGCCAGCTCAGCTGAAACGCAACCCACAGCATGCACCAATTCATCAAATTTGCCCGTGACGACGCTATCAAGACCAGACTGCACAAGGGACGGCAAAACACCAATACCAGCTTTCCGAAGCTGCGGTACCAGCTCTGCACGAGTAATGCTCCATCCTTGTGGTGTTAAGCACTCTAGGCAATCTGGGAACTCTCGCTATTGTACTCTTGGTATTAGATAATCCAATACTATAGTACTATCACAGTACTAGATAAACCTTTTTTTCTTTTTTTCATGATTGTACATGTAGGGTCATTCATTCACACCCATGACACCATGGTAACGCATAGTGATGTGAAGTGTGAACGCTCCGCTAGCCTACGGTAGCACTAGTAGTACTGTTGGTGCATGTTCCAGATCCAACACCTCTACAGTCTACAGACTAGTAGTAGTACATGTAGAGCAGACAGTAGCAGTAACTACTACTGGTATTGTCTTGAGGCTAAGGAGTACACAAGCTAGAAAGGTGTGTTTATGGCCAACTGATAAGTGGTTGTTTCCCACTTGGAGTTCTGTGTGTATTAGAGCAACCTTAAGGCGTTTGTTTAATGTCTACACCTGGAAACTTGGGGAAAGGTTGACACTCCAAGTTGGAACTGCATCAGCGAAGTGTGTCGTGTTGGATGGCTAATGACCGTCGTTCTGACGAGACGGAACTCAGCCAGTCGACCTCTACCAGATATCAGCTGGCTGAGATGGAAATTTTCTTTCTAGTCCGCCATGACAGCCTGACATCTTCCGGTGATTGGTGGACCCGACTGAAGCCCTATCCCACGCTGCAAACAGCTTTAGGCAGGTCACCCTGAAGTATGTGTATCCTCTTTTGCAGTGCAACTCAGTTCAGCTGGTCTCTTAACATTGTTACGAGGACGACGCATGGTCCTAGCCTGTGGCGCCTGAGTGAAGGCTAATTGGATTGGATGTTGCTGAATACGATTGGACACTGTGGGTAGATCTGTGTGTCGTTCGTACGACGCTTGGAGAAGGGCACCCGACCTCGGAGTGACTGCTATCAGACTGTGCTGCTATTTCTGGAGACTTGTGGGCCAACATCCAAAGAGGTGGGTGTTGAACAGAGATTGATGCCAATACCCGTGTAGAGGCCACACAGACATGTACATACACACATACGCACATTGACAAACGCCTCGACTCTTTCCTAGACTTTTCATGTATATCAATAGCAGGTGTAGTGAGTTGCCCTCCACGTCACACTTGACACAGGGAGATCACATACAATGTGATTGGGTTTTTAATGTTATGTACAAGTACACGTACATGTATGCGCACATGTGATGTATTCTTGGCCCTGAAGATAGATCATGGCTGATCTGCGAGTATTGGCACTGTACTGAGGGGTAGAGCGATTTCGGATTTCGGAACTATTCTATTACTTGTACTTCAAAGAAGTATCATTGTGCAAACACGCATCTCTCTGATAGCTACATTTGTACAGACTACAGGCGCCTGATTCGGCCCAAGAAGCTCCTCAGTTCAAGTGTGATACATTTTGATACCATCAGAATCTAGAATAAAACTCGTAGTGCAGGTTGATTTCCAACATCCAGAGAGCAAAGTCAGCTAATGTGCTTGTGCTGCAAAGCAATTTGGGCGACGTGAATTGATTTCAGATGTTTGATTAATTCGTGCCTCACTACATAAACATGTGATTGTACTGATGAGTAAACCCTGGAGATCGAAGGGCGAACAACTGATTTCAACATGATGCTATCGTATATCTGCACATAGTCTTGTGATACAATGCCCAGCTGGTCACACAAAATCCGAGACGCTGGTCGAGTGTACTATTTACACTCCGGTTCTATTTTCTGTCTCTGGAGCCTCTTGAATAGGAAAACTCGTGTTTTTCAGACAGCACTCCAAGCCAAAGTAATTGCCTTCCATCAAACAAGTAGGAATTGGATATAGAGCATTGGGAAACCAGGCACAACAAAAACTCAGAAAACTCTCTCAACGTACTTCGATGTACATGCAATCACACTTCCCACTTTGCAGTCAATCAGGTATATTGTCAGGAGGATTTGAGCGATGGTGTTTCCTATGCTGTCAGCAAGAATTCCCACACGCGAAGATCTGCCCCGCCTATGCTGCAAATCATGTCCTATAATCTATGGTGGGTATACGGCGAACAGCATTGGCGGTTCATCCAGAAATAGATATTGCATTACCTTGTTTGGATAGGAACTCATGTTGGCGACACTATCAGCGTACCAGAGCAAGGTGACGTGTAGCACACGGAAGGCGTTATCACGTGAGCAATAGAGTACACCAATGACTGCTTCCCTGCAGGCAGTTCACAGCACACTGATTCCAGAAAAGGTCATTAGAGGTCTTCGTGACTTTTCGTGTTACCATAGCCCAATCCGCAGGGCTATCCACTCAGACAAGTTTGTTTTGCTCCATACCCATCACCTGGTAGCTACCGGACATCACACCCTGCTGCCCCACAGGACCACAAGGTCACGTCTGCAGCGATGAACTTCCACTGACTTCTTACTCTTGAGAGTCCCTGTTCTATTCTGGGAGCAGACGGTGAAAAGCTCCAGAGGTCGGATTGTCCAGCGCAAACATAACAACACTGCAAGCAGCACTGCCAGGATCTAGGAGGATTCTAAAGAAAGGCGTCAGCACATGCAGAGGACACCTGTATCAGTACAATGTCATAAGTCTGCATGTACATGCACAACGCTAACGAGGCATGTTGAGAAGGTCGAAACAGCTACTAGTATACTTAGTTGTCCATGTCCGGAGATGGGTATACCACGTGATACGGCATATTGCTTCTAATTCTTGCAATGATGGCAATACATGACTGTACAGGCACACATTCGCGTTACATGCACGACGCCTGAACAGTGGTTAAACAGCTGGGACCAGAAACCATACTAATGAGGAGGGGGAGAGGAGGGGGAAGACAGGTACAAGCAAGGCATGACAAACTCAGCGACTCAGTGAGTCATTGCACAGTGTCGCCAGAGCTGATGCATTCACATCCACAGGGAACACTATCCGGCACAGCTGCAGCTCCGGGAACAGCAACGGGTGACTGGTCCACACCACTGCACAGAGGTCATAAACAAGGTACTGTCCGTCATTCTTTACGGGGACAAGAGACCTTTACGTCGAGATCAACTCTGCTGACCTCACTTACTTACTATTATTAAAATAGCGTCTGTGATACGTTTTTGCAGGCATAACACCTGCAATGTGTTAGTGCTAACAGCTAACACCAAACTTGCGTGATCCAGGATAACCCGGCTGTTGATTTCCCGTAAAATACACATCCGCTGAAAGGACATTGCAAACTTTGAGAGAATTCGAACACCTGCGCTCTTCCGTCGCCTGCCTGCGTTCAGACTCACCGCTGCCCCCAGTCTATGGGTTAACCTGGGGTTTGGTGTTCAATCCCAGACAAACATATTGCAGCATCACGGTGCGTCAATAGCGGTATTCGTGCTGCACACGTTCATCACAGTACGCCACGGAGCGATTCAGAATAGCAGTGCACTGACAGTAGCTGGCAACGGTGAGCGACAATCAGAAGTCCCAGATAACGTAGGTGCTCCCGCCACTGGTTTCTTCCAACACCAGTGGGTCCACTATTATTAGACGTATGCCTGTTTTGATTCCCACTTGAACTATATTAATATACAGCAACAGCAACACTGAGAACCAATGTTGTTCTGCATGCAACCCGGGAATTGTTTGTTGTAGCCATTGTGAGGACGTCAAACACTGGTGCTGCTAGAACAAGGTCTCGGTCAATAGTAGTATGGCTGATGTGTAGTAATACCTACCAGCGCCAGAATGTACTTTTGTTAACAGTAACGTTATTACAAGTAGGGTTGGACTGTGAATTAGTCACGCGCTGTCTGTGGTGGGATTTACCCCATTATCGCTGTCTGGTAGCGATGAAACTGGCGAATGACATCATACCGTTATCTGGTTATCAGAGACCTTATGCTACATGGTAACAGAAGTAATAATTATTAGAGTCAGACGTAATGGTCACATACATGTACGTATAGCTGGTGGCAGGGCTCTGGTGGGGAAGTGCGGAAAGAGCTCACATGCAAACACCACAGTACAGTGTGCAATTTAACCAGACCAGGTCAATTCTATCTTCCATAGAATACTCAATGCATGCATTCATCAGTATTTCTTCCGGTACCTTCGTCCAACAATGCAGCAAAGTAGCAAGCACTGGGTTGTTCGAGCCACAACTTAATAGGTGCTAACTGTGAGCCTGAAGGCTGAATGCTCCCCTCAAAGTGCTTACATGGTGGTAGTCAATGGTCGATTCAGTACCACAGTAATCTGTGAACATTTCTGAAGTCTAGACTATCTTCACACCATCGTAATCGTAAGGATTGTGTAATCTGCTAGTATCTTCATCGGTCTGTGGTGCTGGTGAATTCGCGATCCACCAGTTACTTATCACAACCGTCCATCTTGACAAGAGTCTGCAACTGGCTGCGGCATTTTTCAGAATAGTTCTTTCGGTTACGAGAACTTACGACACATCACTTCACAACTGACCTGCAAGTGTCATTTCCTTTGGCAGATTGCGAGTGTCTGTTCGAGACAGTGCTCAGTCATGACTCATGGAGCAGATCCAGGTAACTAAAGTTACCTCACGCAGTTGATTGGCCCAAGGACTATTCTCTCACGGTAAAAAATGTACGAGAGGGTTACGAAACTGCGCTTAGACGGTTTGTTGCATCAACTAAGCAAAACTGAATGAGAAAAATGAAGGAACTAAAACTGCGCAACGGCTTCTCCAGTTTCGTAATACGACTTGCTATTCTGTGATAGGTTATGCGAGGTTATGGGAGACTTAGAGGTAAAAAGTGGTGAATGAAGTCTTTCGACAAACAAACTTGGTTACTTACAATTTAGTGGTCGGAATACCAGTGTTTTTGAGGTGATGAAGAGGAATAACTTGCTGAACAAATGCAAACAAGAGAACGAGTGAGCAGAGACGAACTGCACGTCACTGATTTGTTTAGTGTCCATCCTTACGAGTGGGCGACTGATTCTGCACGGCGCCAGACCCTCCTTGGGCTTTATGATCTGGCGAATGTAGGCGGCGCATATTGCATGTGGGCCACGATGAGGTCCTCGCACCGGTACCGGGTGATGATGCTCTTGAACTGGTTATCAGGACCGGATCGGAGTGTTGGTCTTGACGACTACATCTTCGTACCGTAATGGTACTGTATAAGGAAAATTCTTGGAGATGGATATGATTTTACAACCACGGGATGTGGTACTTCAGAGAGACAGTACACCACGTCAATGTTCACCTCATGCCTTAGACAAGACAAGAAGGAAGAGCTGTGCATGGACCTTGCTGCCTGATTCTGCGTGGCGATAGCACATTCTAGTTGCGGGTAGCTTGTGTTTGGCGAATTCCTTCCACGTCCACTCTCCTCACTCACCTTCCCTTCACTCCATATCGTCGTGCTCAAATCGAGTCACATGAACTTTGAAGGACATGTGGAAGTATTGGCTTGAAACAGCTATTGTCCTCATGGTCAAATTACTCCGTATCTTTACGTGTATCTTCTGAAGCTGTTGATGGAGACTGCCTTGATCACGGCTAAGGCCTGTACAGAATCCAGACGTACAACAAGATACAAATACGACTTTAACCCTACTCAATCCTCTGTTAGAACTTAGAAGTTGACTAGTACTAAAGACCTGTGGTCAGCAATCACACCACCCAAGGAGCACAATGCGATATCGATGTCATGTTGCTGTTCTGCCGGGCCACGCAGCGGAAGAATACTCACAAGCAGCTGACATCTTAACTGCTGACTTGGCGCCAATGCTTCGCGCTAAATCACTACATTTTGTACATATCAACAGTTATTGTAAAACTGCTGTTGGTCTCCATGGGGATACATGCTCAATCGAGAGGTACAATTTCAATTACAGAATATCGAGAAATGGAAGACCTGTGTGTTGTGTGGGACAAACACGTGTTAATATGCACAGGACCTTCCTTACACTTTCAACTTTCAAGTAATTCGGAAGCCGCCGACTTCTGTTCGTGTTAGTCTCAATGCCAAACACAGACAGGCAACGCCTACGTAGAACTTGCTCGAATTTCAAACATGGTAGGTTCCTTTTCAAGATCAAGACTCGTGGTTAAACATTGCTCATATTATTCGCTCCTCCGATATCCTGTGTTCATATTTCCTCCATATCTTACCCACCTCTCGCAGGTTGATACAGATCAGTGAAGTAAAGGTGTCGAATTTCAGGAACCAGTGGCCCACACAACATTTCCAATAGAGGACTTCACACTGATTGAGAATACTACATACATGTACATGTAGGTGGGGTTGGAAAGCACAGTCCACATATGACGTCTTTAACATTTCTGTGCGGAGTGTTTCCTCTTGCCAGTGTCCAACTGTCGCAGCTTTTTTCGTCCGCCATCAATGGATGCACTGTTGAACCTGTCATAGTTTTCTGTTGTGCTTTTGTCTTTTGATTTTGTCCTGCTGTACCATTCCACATCCACCACGCCCTGGAGGCGGCTGAACCTGGGTTTTTTTTGTCGCACTTTAGTGTAATACTCGTAGACCATAATGATGGGCTTGATGAGAAATTGGACACCGCGAAATCCTGCATACATGTACATGATTGTATTGTATTGTCGATGTAAGGACAGCATTGCTTGCGCAGTGATGGGCAACACTCGCATTGCAACTGCCGCACAATATTCCATTACTCCGACCTTTGTTTTGACTTGGGTGGATATCCCATGGACCAGTGTCCGTGGTTGTACGTGTATGTATGTGTGTGTGTGTCAGCATATCGAGCATATTGTAAAATCATGACGTCGTGCAAAGCAGACTGCTGTACTCCCTGGTGTAAAATAGACCCAGACAACTTCGCCCTGACTGATACCCTCGGTACATGTACGTTTCCTAAGAACTCTTGGTACATGACTGTGTATGTAACTGAAAATAAACCCATGGTCGTATTACTGTATTAGACGACGTTGCATTGGTAGTACATCAGCTGACACAAAAACCATGCAGCAAGGAGAGAATCGCAGCAGGATTGAAGCATACCTATGTAGGAGAGTAGGAGTACTGGCAGCGTAGGACATTGGCATTGATAAATTGCTATTGTCAGTATTGAGCCTCTGACATGTTAATCTATGCAGCAGCTGGTACATGTTGTGAAGTACATGGGTGTATACTATAGATGTACTGTACATGTAGCTGTAATACACTTCAGTAGATGAGCTAGGTATACCATGGTATACTACAGTGCTGGCAACTGAAATCCGACCCCCTGCCGTCTCGTACGAATCGCTAACGCGGCTAGCGCACCGCTAGGGGGTCGGATTTCAGTTGCCAGCACTGTAGGACCATAACCATACATGCACATGTGCCTGATGCTGCTCTTTTCATGTAATTATAATAATTATTTTAATAATGCAGATGGATGAAAAGACGTCAATGGTACCATAGGCGCACAGAGAGCTATCATGTCTGCGAAGGCAATGTATGCAAAGAGGTGCTGAAATGAGTGAAAGGTGCTAATGGGGCGTGAGCGAGCCAGCAAAAATCTTTATGATTGGGTTCCACGTGGACTGAATGATACACTGCCCCCTCCCCCGTAGCCCAGTGTCATAATTTCATTGAAAATCATCAAGTTATAATTACATTATCTTCTCATTGTAGCGTCGTAGACCAGTGACCGAATAATAGCGTTAATTAGCGATTGTCAACTGACCACACGCCTCACTCCAACCTGAGAGCTGCTTGCTAATGTGTTTATGGTGTCGGAAGCCTTGGAACATGTAGTCCTAAGTGAGGGGTATTGGCGTGTAAATCACCTTTAAGAGGTGCATAGAAAAGCGCTCCCACCACCGAGTGTGAACTTCGGAAACTTATCCGATTAGCTTGCTGCACTGGACACGTTCCATGATCGATTACTACTGTAGCTGTGCTGCATTGCAACTGACCCCGCGCTGTTCTTCTCGAGCAATACACTTTACACTTACACTACACTAGTGCGTTGGACGACATTCATCGCAATCCCCCGATTGAACCCTGGCCCATTGCGTAGTCAGGACTGCTTGGCCATACACGTACATGTACATGATTAACACTATAGTATTGTACTAGTATTGGGTTATATACTATGTACACAATTGTATACTGAAGTACTAAGTAAGTAGAGATCATGGTGTACATGTACTGTACATGTATGGGACTGTTATGATACGAATTCTCGGAACAATACGTGTGATGCCTTTTGATGTGACTTGTAGTGTGGACAGAGCACAGCCAGAACGTGTGATCAATCCCATACTCGTTGTACTTGAAATCACCTTAAAACAGCTTTGGCAAACAAACACAATGTCACACGAACTTACTTTGGAAATTTCATTTTAAGTAGGTGCGCAAGCGGTGTCATATTATAGGGAAGGGCATTTCTGGACCATGGCAGCGAGGAACGTGAGATAACAACACAAAAGAGTGGATTGAGCGGGAATCTGATAATGCTGTCGCAGCGAAGTCAAAACAATAGTGCCACAGATGTGAACATTGGGATCATGATTGTTTACTCGCTGATTACATTAGAGCTACATTGTCCTTGGTTGTCGTAAAGCGAGGACCGGGTGAGTACAGAGTTTGTGCTCCACAACATGTTAACAGCACCCACACGAATTGTTCGGTACTTAAGTTACTGATTTGATAGTTGATACTATGGATTGCAGCCGGCAACACCCCATATTGCCTCCGACCACATTACTCTACATACATGTGGTGCTAATGTTGACTGTGGTACGTGAAATCATGCAGTATGCAAGCACAGGTACAAGCCGGTGCACGCAACCTTCTCATCTTCTCTGTCTTTTGTTGCCAGCAGATGGAATGACGCAAAACAATAGCGAGATCGGAGCGCCCCCTAATTCGCCCATTGTGCAGCAATCATCGCCAAGCACGCAGAATATGTACAATGTAGCTCGAGCATTGGTTGAAGGCTATGGCCGAGGCTGCATGCTTTGGCCCCGGTTTGGGTTCGTGTTTTCCTTCAAACGCCAGCACCTGTTTCACTGGGTATCTGTAGGAAACAGATGCACCTTGCAGTCTTCCCACTTGGACTACTTGATCGCAACACTTACAATGTAAGTTCCACATAGTGTAGTATATTTCAACCACTGTACTGCATGCCTGCTTACATGCGAGTTCGATGGACCGGACAGTCACATAACCATTGTACGTGTATGCCGAAAAAAGGCATCGTGAAATCCCAAGGACTGGAGTTTCAACATCTGAAGCCATACTACCAATGCCCCAGAACATGTCAACAGCATTGGAGTCTGCACTGAATGCTCTCATCTACGCGACTCAGTGCAGCTGTAAACCGAGTCAACTCAGTACCACTATTCATCTGGTATCTGAGGGAAGGATTTACATGTATCAGTATTTATTTCAACGTTGGCCCATGGTGATGGTGAAAAAGGAGGATGCAATCAATCAAACCAATCCAGGAAGTACATGACATTAAAAGGGAGGGGAGTAAGGCCTAAGGGCGGTTGCCCAGCTTGGTGAACAGCGTGGGATGCTGCAAGAGCACAAGAAGGGATGACGTTACTGGTACAGGTACATACATGTAGTCATTGTACATGTACATGTAGATGCACGTTATTTCCGACGTGACGCGCAATTTCACGTCAAATTTGGCGTAAAACTCCAAATTTCGACGTGAGCAGCAGGTCACTCGCGTTGATTTTTCGACGTGCGAGCAAATAACGCGAGCTGAACTTTCGCGTCACGTCAGAAATAACGTGCATCTTAACCTCTCTATTGTACATGTAGATGCACGTGGTTCAAATCGAACAGGGATTTGATTTCCATTTCACGGTCATCAGGATGTAGCTTGTTGAACTGTATGTTATGCAGGGAGAGGTTAATTTATTGGTGAATAGGTATATCTGTATGTGGCCTGTAGCTCTCAATGCGTGCATGTATGTTCTCAATGCTTCTCATGTACATCTACATGTACATAATTATGTGTCGCAATGCATATTGTTGTTATGTTATTGGTCGGGCAATTTGAGGTGGTTGCAAATGAAGGACAAGTAGGGCCTGTATTATACTATTCAGCGTACCTGCAGTTGCGTAAACCATGGTAAATAGCCCACCGCCGTCACTAATGACCAGAGGGAATACTCCCCCTCAATCAGGTACAATGACAGTAATGTTGGTTGGTAGGCTCACGAGTGGGTGGTGTTTTTTCTTGCCTTGAAAGGCTTCAGGGGTACATTGGTTCTAGATATCCTACATATAGACTTCGGTACAATCATTGTACTTGTACGTAATTTCGCATTGTGCACTATATACTATTCTGTGGCAGTGAAAAATGTGTATTGTCCCGAGATTGAGATTGAGTATGAATCATACAGTATTGATCAGTTTCGCGCTGCCCCTAACACGATCGTGTTACGATCAGCTCTACCCAGCAATCATCGGGCCTGCTACAAAGTAGACTGGTTCCCTGGGATATTCTCCGGCAGTGTTGCTAATGGCCGCAGCCCATACACCCACCCCGTGTCGGTTTTATCGTGAAGTTCTCCCTGCGGAGCAAGACTGCAGAGTTGTCTACAGAACTTAGAAGTGTGTGTATCCGCCGCTCAGTAGTTTCCCAATTATGTCCAATGCTATCACGTTTTCCGCTACAACGGGTGAACCGCACTGTGACCTCGGCAATGCAATGACTCTTTCATTCTGAC